CCTCTGATGCCGTGCGGGCTGCCTGGGTTGCTATGGCATCTCAGGCTGCAGGCTGTCACTGGCGGGTGTGAGGAGGAACGTGTCGCTGTTAGATCACCGACAACCTGTCAGTGATGTGTGCAGCAGCGCGTTCCTCCTCACAGCCGCTGCAGAGTCAGTGACAGCCAGCAGCTGTGGAGGAGGAAGGCTGGGCCCAAATTTAGAAGCGGAGGAGGAGGCGGGCCCGGCGATGGAAGAGGAGGTGAGGCCTTGTGACGGAGGAGGCGGGGCTTGCCAGCGACCATGGAGGCAGATCAGGGCTAACAGGTAAGAGGTGTGCAGCCCACCTGAGATCCTGCAGAGCCCACCATAGAGAGTCTATGCAAGGTCACTCTCACGTGGGCTGTTTGGGATATCAAGTGGGCTCTGCAAGGGCATAACTATAAATCACAGGGCCCCATACAAAATTTTGCTATGGGGCCCTGTGATTTCTGGTTACGCCCCTGATGTTGTGCATTATAATGTTGACGTGTGTCCTATTGATTCACCTGACATGCTATTTTTATTGATGGGTTCACTTTAAAATAATACCCTAGGTTTCCATAAGACCGGAGGTCTGCTTGTTCTTCGGAGAGCTTGGCTGTCCGGATAACGCCCCGTTCCTCGCAGCGTAGGTCATCGGATCTGTTCGGAGGATAAGGTCACGGCTGAGAGCTGAAGAAGGGCCCCGGGACGTTTGTGTAGGTGAGTATGAGTCTTATCGGCATTCCATACTACGTCTCTAGGAAGCTGAACCGAACTCTTCTATTAGCTTGCATAAGATATAATATAGATGGACGATATTCTGCATTTTTTTAGGTGGACCCCCTTTAATCTGAAGGATGAACTCCACTTCCTTCTCTATTTCAGGGGCAAATCCCTCTGCCAGACACCCCGGCATCCCCGGTATTAACTGGTCCAAACTGCGGAGTGCAAGCAGTGCCGGGCACTGTACCTCTGACATCTGCAGGAGCAACTAGTCCCCGCACATATTTTATATATGTGAAGGAAAGTCATTAAAGCGCTTCTCCAGCCCAACCCTTATTTTGTTAGTTTTGGATAACCAGGGGAAGGTTTAGAGAAAAAAAAATGTAGCAAGTCAGGCGGCCGCCTGAGGGCGCTGCAGGGTGAGGGCGGAAAAAACAGGGCATTTTGACAAGTACTTGTACTTGTCAAAATGCCCCGATGTTTGCGCTATGTTTTTTTTTTGTGTGCGCATTTAATACTTTTGGTAAAAGCCGTACCGTGCCTTAAAAAAAATGTGTGGAGTTCTGCTCAACACTTCTGAAGCCAGATAAAGCCAGGCAACTAGCATTGTCGGGAGGAGATCACCAACGGCAGCCCCCATGTTTAATTAGGATTATATGTGTTGCAGGGCGCGTTAGTGAAGAAATAAACAAACGTATACGATAATGCGTCTGGATAAGTTTATTGCTACAATGAATCTATATTCCTTCTTGTTGTGTTTCCTGTGATACAAGTCATCGTTTTACTTATTCTACAGGACAAACTGTAAGCAGAAATACACGTGATATGCATGTGATGTGTTCTGCTGTCGTGAGGCGGCTCACAGTAGGAAAAGGGCGAAGCGTGCCACGCAGTGTTACAGGCTATACAATGCATGGAAAGTGGTGAATCGATGGCTGTCATGGAAGTGCAGTATCTTGCGTCGCTGTGTTTCTCTGTTCCAGCACAGCATTCTGGGATGGATTCGTTGTATCTGCCGCAAATATTTCAGCGCTGCTTTTTTAGTGCATATTGTTTTAGCTTATTGTATGTCAGCACACTATTTTTCATATAGTGTTATTCAACCCTCCTGATATAGGGACGTCAAGTGCAGCCCCAGACATCACCAAAGGGCCGTCTATAATATTAAGTGAATGTAATCTTATATATACCATTTAGAGACTGCATATACATTTAACAGGAGATGGTCAGAGACTACAGGCATGCTACTGGGGATAGTAAGAGACTACAGACATGGTACTAGAGATGGTCAGAGACTACAGACATGCTACTGGGGATTAAGAGAGACTACAGACATGCTACTGGAGATAGTCAGAGACTACAGACATGGTACTAGAGATGGTCAGAGACTAAAAACATGCTACTAGAGATAGTCAGAGACTAAAGACATGCTACTAGAGATAGTCAGAGACTACAGACATGGTACTAGAGATAGTCAGAGACTACAGACATGCTACTAGAGATAGTCAGAGACTACAGACATGGTACTAGAGATGGTCAGAGACTACAGACATGATACTAGAGATAGTCAGAGACTACAGACATGGTACTAGAGATAGTCAGAGACTACAGACATGGTACTAGAGAGTCAGAGAGCACAGACAGGCTTCAGGAGATGATCAGACATGGGTAAGCTAAGTTTTATAGGTGAGACGCCAGTACCAAATGCATACAGGCAATGAAAATGTCCACATGTACAATTTATTGGTGCCGAAACTCCATGCAGTGACACTTTGCCCAAAACCATCAAATCAATTTTAAGAAGTTGAAAACCAGAGAACCTTTCTGGGAATTTAACCTATTCATACGTCTAAACCACATTCATTGTCCTTTTACGTATATTCACCATACTGAACACCATAATAAAGTGTGAGCTCTTCACACCCGGGTCCTCGTTACATATTAACACTCGTTATCTGCAGATCACATCGACAATTCCTCAGCAATACTTCATATTTAACATCTAAGCTCCATATCTGCTGATGTACAGGTACACCAGAGACTACAGGGATGCCTATAGGGTTTGTCACTATGTCAGTGTGAACATGCAGAAGAATATAGAAATGTACGGGGAGAAATCACCAAAATTGTTCCATTGTTGAAAAACACACATTTTGCAACCAGCTCAGATGTGACTTCTCAGGGCATTTTTTTTCCTTCACAGTGAATCCCTGTGGGCGGCAGGGTTTCAGAGCGGTTCCAGCGTGATTTATTAAAGAGCGTTTTTATTTGCGTTTTAGCGCTGAAACACAATTAAAAACAGCCAAAAACAAGCTGATCAGTGTGTTTCCATTATGGAAATCTATATGGAAAACGCGCTGATCCGCGCAACAAAAGTAGCTCAAGGAGCATTTTGGGCGACAGGCGGTTCCCATAGGAATGTATGGGATTGTTCATGTAGGCATTTCAGCGCAACTGGGCCTGACAGGTGATCATCTCAAAATTATTTAAAAGCTGGAGTTCTGCTTGTTGGGGAGAGCTTGGCCAACAGCTCGCGGTATACTGAGCTTTGGGTCACGGGAGAACGCTAGTTTGTGTTCTCCCGTGACCCTTAGGAGAACTATGGGGAAAAGCCCTGACCCCATAGTTCTCCTTTAATATGTAAGTACGCACAGCATAGTGCAGATTATGACACATACCTACCTCCTGTGTTGCCCTCCGAAGAAGACGGGTCCAGGATCCTGTCACTGTTGTGTCCACCGAAGCCATTGCCTCTGCTAGATCATTCAGGGAGAAAGATCCCATGGAGATCCTTTTCAGCCATTCGGCAGCCATCCCTGATGCAACTCCTGCTCATGCAAACAGAAGTTGCATTGTCTTGAGCTCTATTCCTGACAGTGTATACAAAAAAAACAAAAAGTCACCGGAGGCTGGGGAAAAGGTTTTTAGCAAAAGTGACTTTGCTTATCTCCTCTGCCCCAAACCTCTATCTCACATTGACTTTTTGTTAAAGTGACTTCAGTTCCTTTTTAAATAGCACTCAGTAGACATATTGCTCCCATTTGAAGATGAATCACATACAATCTGGCCCAGTGGTTACTGGAGTCTAACATGCCTTAAAAGCTAGATGGAACTGTCACTACAAGAACCTTCTGTAAGTGCAGTTTTCCACTAGATGGTGGTAAATCTCTATTTCTATTACACACATTTGTACAGTACTATAGGGTAGGTAGTGTTAGGTATTCCCCCAGACATAATACTAAGGTCATCCCATCCCAGCAGCAATAGACTTCTGACATTTTTTTCAGAATGTGGCAGTAGCACCATTGCAGTCATAAGAAACGAATGCACAAACAGCTAACAATTTACGAATCTGGCCTTTTAAAAATCTTGGTACAACTTGTATATCAAATGTCATAAAAAGGACTGTTTAAAGGAAATGTGTCATGAAATAAACAGGGAGGCTGCCATTGCCAAGCTCTCTATCCATAAATGCTAGTTGCCTTCAGAATTTTGAGTCAATGACCCGAAACAATCATGCAGACTTCCAAAACAGAACTTATGAAAGCCGGGACACCAACATGAGGGCCAGGAAACTTTCATTTTACAGAAAGAGGCCAGTGATGGCACATCCCCGTTGACAGGTTTATAGGTGGAACCACCTCTGAGCCCATTCATTTGCTGACTAGAGGCGTCATATTGATAAAGTCAATAGTTCTTGGCAAATGAATAGCCTATATGGTTGTGTAGAGGTTGGGTACCAGCTACATGAACAGGAAGATGGGCAGGGAGCTCAGATGTGACAGCATTCAGTCAAATGTATAAGTTGGCATTTGGCCAACTTGAATTATAAGCCATAAGGCGTGCCAAAAACCTGAACATTATTTTAAGGGTTCTTCAGGAAGGAAGGTTGAGAAAGAATGCTACATACGTTCCTGTATAGAAGAATGGTGCCACCCCCTGGAGGAATATATGGACAGTACAAATAAGAGGGAAGCCAAGAAATTCAGCTTACAGCAGAACCGTGATTGGCGTGCCTTAGGAGGTGTAGGGGAAGCTTACGCTACTAAGGTCATGGAGAGCTTTCCAATTGAAAACGTATTGGAGAGCTTTCCAATGAAAAAAAAAAAAACAACCATATTGAAAAGCATTATGTTAGGTCTTTAACTGCATTGTGGGACATTACACAGCGGTCATCTATACTACAGTGTGGACTGCATTGAAATTAGGACAATGGTATACAGCCTGGTTGCATGACTGGCTTGCTCCCTTTGAAATGATTGGGGATGCAATGGTTTGTGAAAGTGTTGTTTACTTTATTTCTGGTTTCATTGCATTCTCTCTTGTAGTGATGGAAAACTTCCAAGAGGGTACTTGACATTAGTTTTCTCCAAAAAGGGGGGAGGGAGGGGGGCACTCTAACATGAGTTGGCCCCCTGGCAGTCTTTATGTTGGGGAGTAGTGGTGACGGGTGCAGGAGTTGAGTGGTGAGGGGACAGCATAAGATGGCGTTTTGTCCAGCAGGGTTGCGCTCAGGCTGTGCACTGTGGTCAGTCGGTGCTCCTGTGGTGCTTCTGTCTTCATTCGCCCACTCACAGGACCTCTTGATGTTTTTGGGAAGCCTCACTAACAACCTGTGGACAGAAAAAGGCAAGTGAGCTTACCATGACAGTTCCCTGGAATCATAAGATCTAGAGAGTTATTATTTGCCGATTCCTGCTATTATTAGTGTCCCCAATTCAGTATAAATACCTTATACTCAAGCTAAGACTCCCAATGTTTAAGGGTGAAATTATTTATCTTGGGAGTCTCAAATCTGCCTCTTTACATATGGCAAGAAGTGGAAAGAAAGTACTGGACCTGCAAGGTTATCCCATTGGTGTGGCTGGCCAATTATGATATGAAAGACTCAGTATAGGTGATCTGACTACCAGACAGGTAGTTTCTAGATCCCAGAGGATCTCCACTGTCTCCTTGGTTTGTATTGTCAAATTGCACGTTTCATTCAATAGTCCAGATAAATATTATTATTATTATACAGTATTTATATAGCGCCAACAGTTTGCGCAGAGCTTTACAATGTAAGGAAGACATTACAATTACAATACAATTCAAGACAGGATGGTAAGGAGGGCACTGCCCCTGAGGGCTTACAATCTGAAAGAGGAGGGGAAGTGATACATGAGGAGGTAGCTGTGTGGGGATGAATTGTTTGAGAATGTGATGGTTCAGTGGTTAGGTTGAGGTGGGATAGGCTTCCCTGAATAGAAGAGTATGTATTCAATGTAGGGTTGAGGGGACAGTAGAGAAATAGCCAACATGCTTCAAGGGGGCTTATACAAATACCCTCTTTATCAGGGCTTATTAACGGAGAACTATGGGGTTAAGGCTTTTCGCCATAGTTCTCCTTAGGGTAACTGGAGGACAGAAACTAGCGTCCTCCCGTCACCCTAGGCTCAGTATACCACGAGCTGTAGCTCGCGGTATACTAAGACGCCGCAGCTGAAGCGGATCCCGACAATTATGTCTGGATCCGCCCAGCTGCGTGAGTGACAGCTGGCTCTGCCTATCTAGAGGCAGAGCCAGCTGTACCCGCCCCCTCCCCCGTCCGTTCCGCCAGTCAGCGCTGGCGGATCGGAGCGGGGGGAATCCAGCCCCTCCCCTGTCACAGCAGAGAGCCGTGACAGGATCGAGAAGTGAGCGAATGCCAGTATGTGTTCGCTAACCTCACGATCTACTGAGCCGACCTGTGACAGTCTCATTGTCACAGGTCGGCTGGAACTATGAGGTGAGTGAAAAGCACCCACCTCATAGTTCTCCTTTAACTGCCTCCGGGCCGGCCGTAGTAAAAAAACGGCCGGCCAGGAGCTCTCTAGATCTGAGCGGGCGTCTTTAGACGTCCGCTCAGACATGCCCCCTTGCGCGCACCGCCGGGCGCGCGCGAGCGGGAAATGGCCGCAATTTAAAAACGGGCAGCGATGCCCGTTAATATACATGCGATCCGCCGGCTGTAAAGCTGGCGGATCGCTTGTATTTAGCGACGATCGGTGCGCCCCCCCCCCTCCGCTGCCCCCCCCGCCATTGTCCCGCTGATCCCGGGCTCCGCTGTGCCCGGTGCGAGCCCGGGATCAGCATGTCGCCTGTGACACAGGGGATCAGAGAGAGCTCGGTACACGAGCTCCCTCCGGTCCCCTCTCCTCTGAAAGAATGCGGAAGTGTTGTATAATACATCACTTCCGCATTCTTGTGTCACTCTCCAGCTTCAGAAGCTGGAAAGAAGCTGATGGAGCAGATCTCTGCTTCATCAGCTTCTTTTGGGGGGTCCTAGGTGACATTAGGGGTCTTGGAGACCCCTGATGTCTCCATAAAGAGGACCTGTCACATATTTTGCTATCACATGGGGGGGGTTTATTAGCCCCTGTATCTGATAGCGATAAAGTTTAGTGAAAAAAAAAGGAAAAAAAAATTAAAGTCCCCCCCCCAAAAATTTTAAGTTACACATAAAAAAGAATTAAACATTTTTTTTAACAATTGTAAAGTCCCCACCCATACATACACGTATGCATACATGCGTTGGGGGCGCATACGTGCAAAAAAGACGATTGCGCCCATTACGCCGCACATGTTACATATCGCTGCGAACGTCGCAGAGGGGGGTCTAAACACCTGGTCTTCAAGTTGCTAAGGAAAAACTGTGATGGCTTGAACTGGATACCATTTTGTCCAGTGTGTGAGAATGCACAGAGCTCTTCAGCAGGTAGTTTGGCAGGTGAAGAGCTCTATGTATTCTTACACACTGGACAAAATGATATCCATTGCCATCGCAGACCTAATACCTGTTTATCCTTAGTAAGCACTGATGAAGGGGGTATTTGAATGACTCCCCATACACAATGGCTATTTCTAAATTGTCCCCTCAAGCCTACATCGAATAAAGATGTATCTGGACTATTGAACAGAGTGTGGCGCTTCAATTCACAATCCTGCAATTCTGCACATATGGCTAAACTCTGCCTGGCCATTCCTGTACCATCTGCATGTTTTGTAGCACCATAAGAGCTGCAGATTGGAGGAAATGCAGATATATTATACACATTACACTGCTCTGCTACTTTATTTTTATCAAACAGTACAAGCACTTCCACTATAGCTACCCATACACCTTACGAATATCGGCCGTATTTCCTATGCGATCGCGCTTTCGACTGATATTCGCAAGGTTGATGGGCGGTGTACAACCGCAAATACTGTACAATTGATCGACTTTTGACTAACCAGCAGGTTAGAAAACTTGGGTCGATCGTACGATTTTCGCAAGGTTGGTGGCGTTAACGTACGTCAAAATTCGGAAGGTTTACACTGCACATGCGCATACAAAAATACGTGCGGACGATTACCGCAATTCGTCCAGGTGCTTTCTTTTAATTACCGCTGTTTCAACCTTTTCGATAATCGGGGCAGGATGTGGCCGCTGTATGAAAATCGTACGACAGTTCCATCATCGGACGAAAAGTGTTGGCCGATGATCGCAAGGTGTATGGGCAGCTTAAGAGTCTAATTAAAAATCTCTGCAGGTGTGCAAGGGATAATATAGACTTTTTTTTTTTAAAGGGCAATGGATTGTTACCCATTGCACAGATAGGTCTGGCCGGAGAAAGACCTTCTGAACCTCTAATTTCCATACATTTCCCAGGAAGAATTGCAATAATTTCCTCATTATACATCAGTGAATCCCATGTGTGCGAATGGGACATGGCAATAGTTAGTAGTAGGGACAGAGTTAGGAATTTCTTCTTATGTTGCAGTGCGAAGGCAGAGGTGAACAGACCACGAACACATTGTGCAAACAATAAGCAGCAGTGATGCACTGTGAAGCTCCATTGTAAGAATCAGGGCAGTACGTTGTCCATAACGGCCAATCAGATTCAGTGGACCATTGCAGTATTAAATAAATAAGACCTAGAGCACACAAATACATAGGGAGCTTGTATTTTTAAAGTATAAAAATCTTAACTGTAGGCTGCTAACAGGAAGCATGTGGTTGCTACAAATCACATTTCTGTGAATATAGCCCAGTAGAAGTAGCCAGACGTGGGAGTTGAATCCGTGATGCAAAACTCAACATTAAAATGCTGTAAAGTGACAAGGCCGTAAAGCTGTGACAGAGCCAAGTGAAGGGTCGTTGAAGACACAACTTACCAGTGTTCCAGAGAAGTGGGTGGGGGGGTGCTCAGTTCTGCTGGGACAATGACAAGTATGTGCATGTGTTATGAGGTGGCCTTGATCATCTTACATGGAAATGGCAATGCTACAGCATACAAAGACATTTTAGACAATTGTGGTAACAGTTTGATGAAAACCCTTTTCTGCTCCAGTATGATTACGCACAAAGCCAGCTCCATACAGACATTGTTTGATAAGTTTGTGGGGAAACTTGAGTGTCCTGCGCGGAGTCCTGACCTAAGCCCTACTGAACGCCTTTGGTATGAATTGAAACACTTATTGAGAGCCAAGTCTTCTCATCCAACCAGGCCCGGATTTCCCACAAGGCCACCGACGCCCGGCCTCGGGGCGGCAAGCGGGGGGAGGGGGGCATATTGTGGAACCTGGCCTTGGGGCGGCAGGTAGAGTAAATCCGGCCCTGCATCCAACATCAGTACCTCTGTAAAAAATGAGTCAAGGCAAATGGACTTGCTGTATTTTTCTTGAAGATGTTTCACTGGTCATTCACCTGACTCACTGGTCCACTGGTCATTCAGTACCTGACCTCACAAATGCTCTTTTGGCTGAATGGGCACAAATTCCCCCAGACACACTCCACAACTCTATGAAAAGCCTTCAAAGAAGACTGCAGGCTAGCCACAAACAAAGAGGAGGGGGACATTAATGTCCATGGTTGTGGAATATGATGTCCACAAACGTCTTGCTTTATATTATATGTAGAAGACCTTTACATGCTGACATGCAATCCCACGCATGTCCTGGAAACTTTCAGAATCATGTGACCAAGAATCCAGTTACTTTCCTCCTGTTGTACCTGTCCATCTTTTACTAGCGTGCAGCTGTTGTATTGATACTTTTAGAAACTCTCATGCAACAGCTGCTAGAGCCCCTCTACCTCCGTGGGCCTTGTGTCTGAGTGTGTACCGTGCATGTAGCATGTTCAGCAGTCACTATAAAAAGCTTGATGTAGAAATGAAATTGAGCTGCTGTAAATCACTCAACAGAAGGCTCAAAGCTTTTCTCCTGGGCTGATTCATAGCACAGGTGGAGACACTTAAAGGGGAACTGTAGCAATTTTTCAAAAAATTGTGAGCAGGAATGTTTTATATTGCAGAAGAAACATACTTTGTCTCCTCTGCAATAAGGCTTTGTACCTTCCTGTTCGTAATCTTATTTTGTGAGCTACGCATGTGCCTGGTGGACGGATGAATTGACTCCCATGCTCATGCAAGGGAGGTATGTCTTCCTGGGCCGGTTAATCAACAGCCGAACCCCGAAGAAGCCGGGAAGAAGATGGAGGGAGCTCGTGGATGTCAGTGGAGAGGAGGTGAGTAAACCTAAGGTAAGTGAAAAAAAACATAGCGCAAACATCGGGGCATTTTGACAAGTATAAGTACTTGTCAAAATGCCCTGTTTTTTCGGCCCTCACCCTGACTTGCCTTGCGGTAGCCCCGGGCCTGGTGAGTATAGTTCCACTTTAAAGGACTTTTTTTCTAACATATGCCACAAATTAGTAGCACACTTTTGTGCTATTGCAAACTTTTAATTAAACATTGATGTGTGGAACCAGCTCTGAGCCAGGAGGCCCAAATAGCAGGTTTTGGCAGATTCAACTTTTAAAGGAAAACTCAACTTTCATATTAAAAAAAAAGTATAAAATTGCTACACAAACAGCTTTGTATTTTAATGTTATTAAAAATGACCTTTCAGTTTTAATCTTTCCCTGCAATCATCTTCTAAACTGCCAAAGTATGAATATAAATATGTTACTTCCTTGGCAACTGGGGACGTTTGGTACATTACCTACAGAACGTCCTCGGGAATCTCAATCTCTGCTCGTGTAATTGGCTCACTGCAGCTTCGCATTGTTACAACACTGAGAATGATAATTTGACCATAGCAGGCAGATCCCCCCACTTAGCATTCTTTTGTCAATCTTTGCTGAAATTTGCTAAACCTCTATTATGATGCTCTTTCGCTGCCATTAAAATGTATGCCCATAACCATGGCAGTATTTAGACATCATACAGTCTTAGGTACACGTGATTGATGAATTCTTTTAGCGCCGGTTCCACATTTTTGTTGCATCATTATTCTTGATAAAACTAAAGCCAAATGTGCTGTCTGCCTGCATGATGCTTAAGGGGTAAGGTGCAAAAGGTGCAGGGTCAAAATACTAAAAAAGGTCAAAATACTAAAAAAAAAAAAAGAAGTGTAACCATCCCTTCTTTCTCTTTTCTTGGTCTGTACATATAAAAAGTAGCTGTGAATATAAAGCAGACCCTAAGATTTCTCCTCTGGCACTTGTAGCATTAGTCTTTACTGAGATAATGGCATGACATGAAGAGCCAATCTATTAAAAAATAGAGCATTGCCATGTACAGTAGGTGTGTGGCTAATGCAGAATGATGCCTAAATACAGGCTTGTGTAGAGGGAACACATACTCAGCATTACTGGGCTCATTCGTTCCTTTCTAGGTTAGCAGCATTAACTGAATGCTAAGCATGTGGCCTTTTACGTCATTTATTTGGAGCTGCTCTGCCAAGTTTCCAGCAGCAGTTTTAAAGAGTTACAGCGCTGAAGAAAAGGAAATCCTGCTCCTATTCTGGTATGGGCAGCTGCCTAGTGCAAGTGTTCCTTACTGGTGATTAGAATGGGGGAGAATCTTAAATTAAAGGAGAATTATGAGGCGTGTGCTTTTCACTCAGCCTCATAATGAATGAAACTGTCACAGGTCGTCTCAGTAGTTTGGGAAGTAAGCGAACACATTCTCGATCTATCCGTGCAGAGAGCCGTGACTGTCACTCACGGCTCCCTGCAGGGATTCCCCGCTCCGATCCTCCAGCGCTGACTGGCGGAATGGATGGGGGAGGGGGCGGATAAAGCTGTATATAATTCTCCTTTAACTTGTTCTCTACAGGACGATGCAACAGGTTCACTTAAATGTCCTCCACCTTTGTATATAATAATCTTCCCTTCGCTCCCTTACCACCTGAAGAGAAATTCCTGGTACTTCCAGGTATGAAGGAGCATTTCATTCAAGTCACTTCCTCCGATATCGTAGCTGTCAATCACAGGCCCCAATGCTGACTAATGGGGTGGTGAGAGTCCGCAGACTTCCTTCTCACCCCCATGTATTAACTAAGTGGTGGGAGAGTGAATGGAAAATAAGTATACGTGGGGGGCTAGGTTCAAGTGAAGCTGTTGTATTGTGCTGTTCACCTGGGAGTTTTGGGTGTCCCCGCCACCTTTGTGTTTTCCAGCTCCCCCAATAACATTCTCCATTATATAAAATAAATCAAAAATAAAAATACTGTTGTTATACTGTTGAACAAACTGTCAGGTGGTTTAAAGCCTTGGTTCTAAACTGGTGGGTCGTGACCAAAAAGTGGGTCGCGACCCCATGTTCAATGGGTCGCTGAATGCCTTCCACTTTTCTAAGTGAGAGGCTCCTCAGCCTCCCCCTAGTGCAGCACTGTCAGTTTTTGTACAGAGCAATCATTCAATATATGCTGCCCAGCGCCAAGTGTCGTCTTGAGGTGGGGTGGGCCGGGAGTTTGGCCGTGAGGGAGCTCCATCCATACGTGCATTGCTTACATCTCCCTCACGTGTCCTGTAGACGTGCCTGGACCGGAGTGACGTCACATTTTGGCTCCCGGCACCTCTACAGGCCGGCATGGGAGCTGTACAAGCAATGCACATAGAGCTCCATTACAGCACAGCAGCCCACACTGGCCCCCAGCTGAGGATTCAGCGTTGGGTCGCGACTTAATGACTGAGGACAAATGTGGGTCCTGAGATTACACAGGTTGAGAACCACTGGTTTAAAGGACAACTTTACTTTCAGTGAAGTTGTCATTTAATGTGTATCAACTACAACCCTCTGTGAATAGAGTCCTAAATATAAGGATGAGGGTTTAACTCAACCTTAAAGGACAACTTCACTAAATGTCCATCATCTGTCAAAACAGTTTTAACAGTAATGAAAAGTATTGCTTTTGTAGTGCTATTCATTGTTTGTGGATGGCATTGGGTCTTGCTGATAGGTATGACTCTATCTTGATTTGAGACCCCGTACTGTCTTTTAATGGAGTTCACACAAACCAAAGGACGAGGCTGGTTCTATGCTCATATCCACTGAACCCTCCTTTTTTGCCACACGTAACAAGTACAATTGATGCTTGGGAGACTTATTATCATTTCATATGCACTTGACTCACCTCTCCGTCCCGGGTCTCAATAGTTTTGATCATGACTGTTTTTTTGGTGTGAACTTCAGATGATCTCTGCTCTGGGCTGGTCTCTGGAGGCACACATAAAATGGTATGAATAAATAATCACACTCACAGGCAGTCTGTAGTAAAACTAGTGGCTATTAATGAGAAATACAAAAATGAATTGGAAGATTTACAATGCTTGCCGGCCAGTTTTAGAAATAATGGAAGGAGAAAGGGTGTTGTTCTTTTGAAATCTTTCAAAGTATTTTCCTGATATGTAATCACAAAGCAGATACATTGTTTCCTTTTTAGTGATTATTTTCCAGCCCCCTCTCACTTCTTAGAAGGTAGTAGAAAGTGGAAAGTGGAGTGGAAAGGAAATGTATGACATTGTTATGTTTCATTTACCTCAAGAAGATTCCACATCGGCCCTCAGCAGTCAAGGTCTACCCTCCGAGATAGTATATTAGAAGATAGCTGGGTGGTCCCTATTACTCATCTGTGTGGTTTGCATTGCTCATAACATTTACACTAATAATAACCGTATCTTGTTACACTTACCTCTGAAACTCAGTGCGGAATATGTCTGGATAGGAAGGCTGATCCTAAAACACACAATTTTCAGTGGATTAATTACTTTATTCAGTACTCACAAAGTTTTTGAAAACATTGATTAATACAATCCAACAGCTATAGTTTATTAACACAATACTATTAAAGAAACCTGTACAGAGGATGTTACCAATCTGTCCTAAAAATACCAGTTAATGGCTGTTGAGCTGATCCAGTGGCTTCAATGCTTTCTTAAGCTCCTTTCACACGGGTGGTCCAATCGATCCAAAAACTGACAGGCGGACCCGATCGGATGCCCAATGCTAGTCTATGGGCAGCCATGTGTAAATGGAGGGGGTGTCTATGGGCAGCCATGTGTAAATGGAGGGGTGTCCATGGGCAGCCATGTGTAAATGGGGGGGGTGTCTTTGGGCTGCCATGTGTAAATGGGGGGGTGTCTATGGGCAGCCATGTGTAAATGGAGGGGTGTCTATGGGCAGCCATGTGTAAATGGAGGGGTGTCCATTTACACCCGGTTACCCCCGCCCCCCGGCCAGATCCAGAAAAAGAAACAGAACGGTGTTCTGTTTTGACAGACCTAATTGTTTACGTCAGATTATCCCAGATTTGGCACAGACACATGGCCACTTACATCCAATTCTCCATAGACCAACAAGGGGGTCTGGTCATTTCGGTTTTTTTCCTTTATTGCAAGATGGAGGAAAAAACTGGACGGACATGGATGTCACAGAGGTGATGTCCGATCCTTCACGCTCCGATCAGGCAGGGGATCTGTGCATGGATCCCCTCCTGATTAGCCCGTGTCAAAGGGACCTTAGTCACTGACTGCAGATCAGGAGTTCTGGCCTCACTCTGATTTCCCTGATCTGCATGCTTGTTTTGAGTATCAAAGTATTGTAGCCAGACATCTAGCTTTTGCAAAAGGAGATCAGTAATGGCAGCCTCTGTGTTTTTTTCAGAGCATGTTTACCCGATCTGCATAGTTGTTTCAGGTCAGTGATAGAAAGTACTGAAACTATTAGACAAGACTGATAGCCAGGCAACTAGCATATGCAGTAGAGGTCCGTAATCAAGAACGGTTTGTGTGCAGAGCCTGTTTTATTAGTTAATATTTGTGCATTGGTATGTTTCCCTGTTTCCCCCTCGTGTTCGCTACCAGTTAGTACAATCCTTGCTTAGAAACTCCCAAACTGCACATGCCTCCTAGTTAGTTTAGTTCTCATCCTTGTGTTCAGAGATCTTTCAGGGAGTCAGGAGGCTTTGCAATCGAAAAGCTTTTTTACCTTCAAAACAACAAAAAAAACCTTGTAAGGTACGGAATTAAAGACTTCTGAGTCTTTTTGGTGAATTGGCAATGCCTGTGGATTTTGTTGAGTTGCACAGGCTGGATCTCAGGAGGTATATAATTTGCATAAAGCAACATTTGAGACATAACAATCTCATTTAAGTTTTTGGGGTTTTGTTTTGGATGGTTTGGGGAAAGGTTGGGTTTTAGATACACTTTAAATGGATATTTCAAGTATCCATTACTTCTAAGTAACGATGTATGACCAGTGCTACTGTATATAAAGGAGCTGCAGCAGATATGAACAGAGATACTGTAAAAGTAGGCTCTAAGTCCTAAGGACAGTGCTTAACCTACACTGAATAGTCAGTGTGTATCAAGAATAGGAATTATATAGTTACATAGCAGGTGAGGTTGAATAAAGACACAGGTCCATCAGGTTCAACCTATATATAGTGTGTGTGTGTGTGTGTGTGTGTGTGTGTGTGTGTGTGTGTGTGTGTGTGTGTGCTTGTGGGGGTTTTTTCGTTTTTTA